TTGTTTCTGGTGTCCTTTGACAGCTCTTTGGTCTTGTGGACAGGTGTCTTTTATACTGATAACAAGTTCAAACAGGTGCCATTAATACAGGTAACGAGTGGAGGACAGAGGAGCCTCTTAAAGAAGAAGTTACAGGTCTGTGAGAGCCAGAAATCTTGCTTGTTTGTAGGTGACCAAATACTTATTTTCCACCATAATTTGCAAATAAATTCATTAAAAATCCTACAATGTGATTTTCTGGAGAAAAAAAATCTCAATTTGTCTGTCATAGTTGACGTGTACCTATGATGAAAATTACAGGCCTCTCTCATCTTTTTAAGTGGGAGAACATGCACAATTGGTGGCTGACTAAATACTTTTTTCCCCCACTGTATTCAATTGATGTTGAGCGTTCGTAAATTAATCAGTTATTCTGCGCTCTGGCATACTCAGACTGAATTTACGAACACACCTGAAATTGTTACTTGCATAGTGGAGTCTTTTGTTAAGACATGTAGCAAGCTAGCTAGGTAAACAATGAACCATAATCCCAACTCATGGTGTTACTACCCTGCATGAATTTGCAGGTAACTAACCAACCAGGTTACATTTTAGCTAGCTAACATTAGGCTATAACTAGCAAAGCAAATGGTTCTGAGATTCGAATAATAAGATCATACACGTAACGTTAGTTAGCGAGCCAGCCAGCCAGCTAACGTTAGCTAGCTAGCTAACAGTACGCTTTAACTTGAAATGAAAACAACCTTTTTGTCAAAATTAGAAATGTGTAATATCTGAAAATGTAGCTAGCTAGACTATTTTACCTGTATACATCATGGATGGACGCGTCTCCCTCACGGATGCCATGGTTGCCCTTAGTTTGAGGATGTAATCCGGAGACAGGTTTTTTCTCCATCTCCTTAGCTATCATACTCTAATTCCACTGATTTCAAAACTCGGTCCTCCAGGAAGTGGAGAGCAACATTTATGCAGTTTACCTACGCAATATTTTTTGTTTTTAAAGCCGCGTTAGACAGGAATACCTACACATACTGACCAGCTCAAATAGACAGAAGCGTGCTATATGGCAGACCAATCCAAACTCATCTCTCGGCATGTCCTGCCCACTCATTATCTCAGCCAATCATGGCTAGCGGGAAGGTTGCTGTCTTTTTTTGTGGCTAAACCAACTAGGCTCGTAATTTAACAATTGTATTTGTATTTACAGATGGCATACAAGTTTGTTATTAAGGCACATGAAAGTTCACATGTTCCAGAAGGCATTTCTGCCCAAAAAATGATTTTACGTTCAAATGGCTCTCCTGTGAAGTAGTGACCCATGACGTCTAGTTTATTTATCTGCATTAGCAAAGCGAAAGGCACATTCAACCTCAAGCCATTGCATTGCTATTCAATGGTCGTAAACCTTACATTTAGAAAGCATTGGATCATTGGCAAGTTCATATTTTACCATACCCTCATTCATATTTTGTAAACATTAGCTTGATGGATGAGAATTGTGTCATTGACAATTTTGCGACTGGCAGGAATGTTTTGTTTAGCCATACAATAGACTATATAGGCTATCTGACGACCCTATCCACAAAGCCTGTGTTTGGCCACAGGTCTCGCTGTACACCCTAGAAGTTGCAGTTGATCCAAGAATAGATTTGTGGTAGTCATATACAGTTGAAGTCGGAAGTTTACAGACAATTTAGCCAGATACATTTAAACTCAGTTTGTCACAATTCCTGACATTTAATCCTAGTAAAAATTATCTGTCTTAGGTCAGTTAGGATCAACACTTTATTTTAAGAATATGAAATGTCAGAATAATAGTAGAGAGAATGATTTATTTCAGCTTTTATTTATTTCATCACATTCCCAGTGGGTCAGAAGTTTACATACACTCAATTAGTATTTGGTAGCATTGCCTTTTAAATTGTTTAACTTGGGTCGGTAGCATTGCCTTTAAATTGTTTAACTTGGGTCAAACGTTTCGGGTAGCCTTCCACAAGCTTCCCACAATAAGTTGGGTGAATTTTGGCCCATTCCTCCTGACAGAGCTGGTGTAACTGAGTCAGGTTTGTAGGCCTCCTTGCTCGCACATGCTTTTTCAGTTCTGCCCACATATTTTCTATAGGATTGAGGTCAGGGCTTTCTTATGGCCAATCCAATACCTTGACTTTGTTGTCCTTAAGCCATTTTGCCACAACTTTGGAAGTATGCTTGGGGTCATTGTCCATTTGGAAGACCCATTTGCGACCAAGCTTTAACTTCCTGACTGATGTCTTGAGATGTTGCTTCAATATATCCACATAATTTTCCTTCCTCATGATGCCATCTATTTAGTGAAGTGCACCAGTCCCTCCTGCAGCAAAGCACCCCCACAGCATGATGCTGCCACCCCCGTGCTTCACGGTTGGGATGGTGTTCTTCGGCTTGCAAGCAACCCCCTTTTTCCTCCAAACATAACGATGGTCATTATGGCCAAACAGTTCTATTTTTCTTTCATCAGACCAGAGGACATTTCACCAAAAGGTACGATCTTTGTCCCCATGTGCAGTTGCAAACCGTAATCTGGCTTTGTTATGGAGGTTTTGGAGCAGTGGCTTCTTCCTTGCTGAGCGGCCTTTGAGGTTATGTCGATATAGGACTCGTTTTACTGTGGATATAGATACTTTTGTACCTGTTTCCTCCAGCATCTTCACACGGTCCTTTGCTGTTGTTCTAGGATTGATTTGCACTTTTTGCACCAAAGTACGTTCATCTCTAGGAGACAGAACACGTCTGCTTCCTGAGCTATATGACGGCTGCGTGGTCCCATGGTGTTTATACTTGCATACTATTGTTTGTACAGATGAACGTGGTACTTCAGGCATTTGGAAATTGCTCCCAAGGATGAACCAGACTTGTGGAGGTCTACAATTTTTTTTCTGAGGTCTTGGCTGATTTCTTTTGATTTTCCCATGATGTCAAGCAAAGAGGTCCTGAGTTTGAAGGTAGGCCTTGAAATACATCCACAGGTACACCTCCAATTGACTCAAATTATGTCAATTAGCCTATCAGAAGCTTCTATAGCCATGACATCATTTTCTGGAATTTTCCAAGCTGTTTAAAGGCACAGTCAACTTAGTGTATGTAAACTTCTGACCCACTGGAATTGTGAAACAGGGAATTATAAGTGAAATAATCTGTCTGTAAACAATTGTTGGAAAAATTACTTGTGTCATGCACAAAGTAGATGTCCTAACCGACTTGCTAAAACTATAGTTTGTTAACAAGAAATTTGTGGAGTGGTTGAAAAACGAGTTTTAATGACTCCAACCTAAGTTTATGTAAACGTCCGACTTCAACTGTATCTACCAGAATAGCATCTCATATCCCTGCTGGTGAAATTGAAAGGCGATCCAGATCTTCCAGTGATTGCCATTTGTGATCAAATAATGCCCTTGTTGGCCAGTTGAGATGAGATGCTAAATCCAAACAGGCCAGTTGACATTAGGCCGCCGGAATTCGCCACTGCGTTAATGGAGAAGACTGAATGAAAGACCCTGGGAGGCTTAGCGGTTTATGTGCATAGAACCGTCTGGATTTTATCATTGACACTGAAACAGTGTTTCAGACCCTTTCTTAGGACCCTAATGGGGTTTTGTGAGTTAGTAGCATGGGAGTCATGGAGAGGGATTTGCTACATCGACGATGATGCTTGTTTTTTGGAGAAAGCTAAGGAGTCTGTTTTATAGGGGATTGGTTTACCGCCTATCGTTTTTTGAGTGAATGACGATTAATACCTGACTGATAGACTCCCAATTACCATTAAAGGGAACTGAACCTTTCTGGGAAATCTGAAGGCACATGGTAATCTGATCGGTTTCACCATTCATGCCGAGGCAATGTTGGTCTTATCAATGGCCTTTCACAGCATAGCAGGCTGTATAACACACTCAATATGATGCTGCTTACCTCATCCCATTGTGTCAATTGTTTGCTCCCTTATGGTTTCAACCATGTCTGTACCTGACAGACTGCCTAATTCAAGACATTATGACAGGCTATGCTGTAATACATTTCCAACACTGGTAATATAGCACACATTATAGTGATTTAAGTAAGAAGTGACTTGTACTATTATGTCACTACTTTGGAGGAAATCCCTCTCTTTCTCAGGCAGTATTATTCCATACCAGTTGTAATTTATTGCATTCCCCTTTTTGTGACCAAATATGATTCATTAAACATTCCATGTAGCTGACAGGTTTGGCTAACTGTTGGCAGGAATTTTCGCTAAAAGACGCACTGGAACACACTGTACAGGCTACAATCCACAGCTCATTTGCATTTTTTAAGTTTCACTTTCGTTTTCCCTCCTTGCACTCTGATTCGTTCAAGGTTGAAAGCCATCCGCAACTTTAGAAGAATTGGGAAAGATGGTGACTGCTCGCAAGTGATGATTGGCCACTGACTGTTTTTGGCAGATCGTCGGCCATCTGTGTCCTCTCTTAAGACCTACCTGTCTTGTTCCAGCAACAGTCGGTGTAGCCCAGATGTGCCTTCTCTATCCGGTCCCACTTCATTCCTCTTAGAACAGAGCCCATTAAATTCACTTCACATCTCAAGCGCATAATGGCAAATGGCCCTTACCCTAACGGCACATTAAGTGCATTAAGTAAAGATGCAGTTACGAGAGGTTAGGGTCCCAAATCTACATCCCCTTGTCTCCGCCCGTATATCCCACACTTTTCTTACCTCTATATTCTCACCCCATACTCCTGTAAGGGTTCTACTGTCCCACCCTGAACAGGGAAGGCGGAGGGGTAGGATGGGAGAGGGATCGACCATAATCACCTTGTGTAAATTGTTTAAAGAAACCATCTTGACACAGCTGCCTGGACTGAGTTTGCAAAAGGTATTTGAGTCTTGGTTCAAAACGAGGCTCCTCATAGTGAGACAGTTGGGCCTGTGGAAGCCAGGAAAATGTGATGGGGAAGAAGCCCTGGCATTTACATGTGAAACACAAGATGGTCAAATGTAGTGGATTGGAAAGGTTAGCCAGAATATTCACTTCATTACACTGGTGGTGTTAAGACTTGAAGTAACATTCTGCCAAAATACACCGTAAATTTGCATGGGGCACAGTTTTCTGCCCACATGTAAAAATCCCATCACCTAAATTACGGTGATCTTGATTATTATTTAATAAAAAAACATTCTTTATTAACATTGACTGTTGGGTGGACGTTATAATGTTTCAGTGTGCTCGTTCTTTTTGTAAGACTAAAAGGGATTTTGACAAATATAGTGAACGAGTTAAGAGGCTGGCGTCGCCCCAGCTGTACGTCTTAATTGACTTTGCTCAGTCTTCACTTAAGTCAGCAAAGAAATAACAATTTATACTTAGCAGATAATTTTTGTTTCCATTCTGCACTAGACCCATGCCATTATACTTCAAGCCAAAGATTTCAATCTAGCAAAATGGTTAAGCACAAGGTTTTCCCTTTCCCATACAGCACCCCCAGATAAAATGCATAAAGAGAGGTGTTATAAATATAAATCACTACCCCTATTTCACACAGCACACTTCCAAGTTCCCCCCTCCAACACCGGTTCAGAGTTAGGTTGTTGCAATTCCTTTGATGTGCTGTAGCTTTGAGCCACCTATCACTTGTACAATTATTCTATAATGATATTAAAGCCTCGGACCTGGTGCCAATTAGATTAGTTCTTATAGAATGACCCGCAATGTCTTCAAAGATGTCTGAGACAGTTTAACAATAATAATGATAATAATAATAATGATTTATATTAGTAATGGATTTTTATTAGGCCTTTTTACATTGTTTGTGTGCAAGGCGCAAGACCATTGCTCTGATGTTTGATGTAAATAACAATGAGCGTAACTGAATTACAATGTCTTTCTCTTTCTCTGTGTGTGTACAGGACCCCAGATCAGTGCCCTAGTGTGGTGTCCCTCCTGTCAGAGAGCTACAACCCCCATGTGCGCTGCGGGGCTGCCATGGCCCTGGGCATCTGCTGTGCCGGGACAGGCAACAAGGTGAGTGCCCCTTCTTCCACGTCATGTACATCCTTTCCCGACCAACCTCCCTCCCTCACCTCTCTGTGAACAACCTGCAAATTCTATTGTCCAGTCCAAAATCAGCCCATAGGCTTACCTGGAGACACTTCTTAATGCAGCCTCATGAATCTAAAATAATTAAAAGGGTCTATGAAATATTGTGAAAGCTCCTCCTAGTCTGCCACAGGGCTGTGTTGTATCCCTCCCACACACCATGCGTGTAGCAAAATAACGTAAGTCAACATGATTTAAATGTGTTTTCGGAAGGGCTGTGGTCACCATTCAAGGAATACATTAAATATATACATGTCTTGGTAGTGGGGAGCAATTGTATTGTTTTTTTCACAGATCCATTATTTTAGCAACCCTATATTCTTGGCAGCCCTGGTGTGAAGGGGAGGATTGGCAGAGCACACTGTCATATGACCCTAAATATTTTTATGTGCTACTTGGAATTACAATTTAAGAGGACCAGTGATTCTACAGCTAAAAATAATAATAATCTCACATCTGTGCTGTTTGGGAGCGATGTTGTTGGACTACATATTGTTGTTTCCTCTTCAAGTGATACATTGTATCATTTCGCTTGACCGTGAGAGCCACAAGTTCTTTCAAGTTTCTCAGTGTATATTCTGAAGGTTTGCATTAAAATAAAGTGTGTAGCCTACTACATATCACTGGTGTAGCCTATAGGCCTACTATTACATTTTTTTCACAGCATCTGACCTGATTGGATCCCCCTCACCTACTGAACAAACATGCTATACAGTGCAAAGCCCGCCACATGATCTCCAGCCCAGACCACCCACTCCACCGCTGCTTTCATCTCCCATCAGGTCAGGGAAATCAGACAATTAAATAGCGCACACTGGCCTCTCGGGGATCCGGGGGGGACGGGGGTGGTATGCCGATCACTGGGATGACTGCCCAACTTGGGATGGGGAGGGGCTTTAGCGGGGGAATTGGTGGAGAACAATTGGAGGGTTACTTAGTAGCAATGCAAATATCATTGTACAGCTATATGGACACTCAGTCACTATGGTATTTTCTATTGGTAAATTTACAAATATATATATATATCTATATCTATAAAATGATAAATAGATTTGAAACTTGTAATGGCTTAGCAGATAATAACAAAAGAAGAACAATATTTACATGGCTCAAAGAGAAGGAATATAATATATATTGTTTACAGGAAACTCATTCAACAATTCTAGATGAAGTTGCGTGGAAAAAGGAATGGGGGGACGAAATATACAGTGGGGGAAAAAAGTATTTAGTCAGCCACCAATTGTGCAAGTTCTCCCACTTAAAAAGATGAGAGAGGCCTGTCATTTTCATCATAGGTACACGTCAACTATGACAGACAAATTGAGGAAAAAAAATCCAGAACATCACATTGTAGGATTTTTTATGAATTTATTTGCAAATTATGGTGGAAAATAAGTATTTGGTCACCTACAAACAAGCAAGATTTCTGGCTCTCACAGACCTGTAACTTCTTCTTTAAGAGGCTCCTCTGTCCTCCACTCGTTACCTGTATTAATGGCACCTGTTTGAACTTGTTATCAGTATAAAAGACACCTGTCCACAACCTCAAACAGTCACACTCCAAACTCCACTATGGCCAAGACCAAAGAGCTGTCAAAGGACACCAGAAACAAAATTGTAGACCTGCACCAGGCTGGGAAGACTGAATCTGCAATAGGTAAGCAGCTTGGTTTGAAGAAATCAACTGTGGGAGCAATTATTAGGAAATGGAAGACATACAAGACCACTGATAATCTCCCTCGATCTGGGGCTCCACGCAAGATCTCACCCCGTGGGGTCAAAATGATCACAAGAACGGTGAGCAAAAATCCCAGAACCACACGGGGGGACCTAGTGAATGACCTGCAGAGAGCTGGGACCAAAGTAACAAAGCCTACCATCAGTAACACACTACGCCGCCAGGGACTCAAATCCTGCAGTGCTAGACGTGTCCCCCTGCTTAAGCCAGTACATGTCCAGGCCCGTCTGAAGTTTGCTAGAGTGCATCCAGAAGAGGATTGGGAGAATGTCATATGGTCAGATGAAACCAAAATATAACTTTTTGGTAAAAACTCAACTCGTCGTGTTTGGAGGACAAAGAATGCTGAGTTGCATCCAAAGAACACCATACCTACTGTGAAGCATGGGAGTGAAAACATCATACTTTGGGGCTGTTTTTCTGCAAAGGGACCAGGACGACTGATCCGTGTAAAGGAAAGAATGAATGGGGCCATGTATCGTGAGATTTTGAGTGAAAACCTCCTTCCATCAGCAAGGGCATTGAAGATGAAACGTGGCTGGGTCTTTCAGCATGACAATGATCCCAAACACACCGCCCGGGCAACGAAGGAGTGGCTTCGTAAGAAGCATTTCAAGGTCCTGGAGTCTCCAGATCTCAACCCCATAGAAAATCTTTGGAGGGAGTTGAAAGTCCGTGTTGCCCAGCGACAGCCCCAAAACATCACTGCTCTAGAGGAGATCTGCATGGAGGAATGGGCCAAAATACCAGCAACAGTGTGTGAAAACCTTGTGAAGACTTACAGAAAACGTTTGACCTGTGTCATTGCCAACAAAGGGTATATATCAAAGTATTGAGAAACTTTTGTTATTGACCAAATACTTATTTTCCACCATAATTTGCAAATAAATTCATAAAAAATCCTACAATGTGATTTTCTGGATTTTTTTCCCTCATTTTGTCTGTCATAGTTGACGTGTACCTATGATGAAAATTACAGGCCTCTCTCATCTTTTTAAGTGGGAGAACTTGCACAATTGGTGGCTGACTAAATACTTTTTTTCCCCACTGTACTTCTCTCATGGGCAAAGAAACTCAAAAGGGATGATGATATTAATTAACAGTAATTTCGATCCGAATGTGCAAATTGTCCAAACAGATACGCAAGGTAGATGGATTATTTTAAATATGTTATTGGACCATAAACAGATATGGCTCATTAACCTTTACGGACCAAATAATGATGATCCACACTTCTTTGACAGTGAGGGAAAGAAGTATTTGATCCCCTGCTGATTTTGTACGTTTGCCCACTGACAAAGACATGATCAGTGTATAATTTTAATGGTAGGTTTATTTGAACAGTGAGAGACAGAATAACAACAACAAAATCCAGAAAAACGCATAAAAATGTTAAATTGATTTGCATTTTAATGAGGGAAATAAGTATTTGACCCCTCTGCAAAACATGACTTAGTACTTGGTGGCAAAACCCTTGTTGGCAATCACAGAGGTCAGACATTTCTTGTTGGTGGCCACCAGGTTTGCACACATCTCAAGAGGGATTTTGTCCCACTCCTCTTTGCAGATCTTCTCCAAGTCATTAAGGTTTCGAGGCTGACGTTTGGCAACACGAATCTTCAGCTCCCTCCACAGATGTTCTATGGGATTAAGGTCTGGAGACTGGCCTAGGCCACTCCAGGACCTTAATGTGCTTCTTCTTGAGCCACTCCTTTGTTGCCTTGGCCGTGTGCTTTGGGTCATTGTCATGCTGGAATACCCATTCACGACCCATTTTCAATGCCCTGGCTGAGGAAAGGAGGTTCTCACACAAGATTTGATGGTACATGGCCCCGTCCATCATCCCTTTGATGCGGTGAAGTTGTCCTGTCCCCTTGGCAGAAAAACACCCCCAAAGCATAATGTTTCCACCTCCATGTTTGACGGAGGGGATGGTGTTCTTGGGGTCATAGGCAGCATTCCTCCTCATCTGACCACAACACTTTCACCCAGTTCTCCTCTGAATCATTCAGATGTTCATTGGCAAACTTCAGACGGGCCTGTACAGTGGGGGAAAAAAGTATTTAGTCAGCCACCAATTGTGCAAGTTCTCCCACTTAAAAAGATGAGAGAGGCCTGTCATTTTCATCATAGGTACACGTCAACTATGACAGACAAATTGAGGAAAAAAAATCCAGAACATCACATTGTAGGATTTTTTATGAATTTATTTGCAAATTATGGTGGAAAATAAGTATTTGGTCACCTACAAACAAGCAAGATTTCTGGCTCTCACAGACCTGTAACTTCTTCTTTAAGAGGCTCCTCTGTCCTCCACTCGTTACCTGTATTAATGGCACCTGTTTGAACTTGTTATCAGTATAAAAGACACCTGTTCACAACCTCAAACAGTCACACTCCAAACTCCACTATGGCCAAGACCAAAGAGCTGTCAAAGGACACCAGAAACAAAATTGTAGACCTGCACCAGGCTGGGAAGACTGAATCTGCAATAGGTAAGCAGCTTGGTTTGAAGAAATCAACTGTGGGAGCAATTATTAGGAAATGGAAGACATACAAGACCACAGATAATCTCCCTCGATCTGGGGCTCCACGCAAGATCTCACCCCGTGGGGTCAAAATCACAAGAACCACACAGGGGGACCTAGTGAATGACCTGCAGAGAGCTGGGACCAGATTAACAAAGCCTACCATCAGTAACACACTACGCCGCCAGGGACTCAAATCCTGCAGTGCCAGACGTGTCCCCCTGCTTAAGCCAGTACATGTCCAGGCCCGTCTGAAGTTTGCTAGAGTGCATTTGGATGATCCAGAAGAGGATTGGGAGAATGTCATATGGTCAGATGAAACCAAAATAGAACTTTTTGGTAAAAACTCAACTCGTCGTGTTTGGAGGACAAAGAATGCTGAGTTGCATCCAAAGAACACCATACCTACTGTGAAGCATGGGGGTGGAAACATCATGCTTTGGGGCTGTTTTTCTGCAAAGGGACCAGGACGACTGATCCGTGTAAAGGAAAGAATGAATGGGGCCATGTATCGTGAGATTTTGAGTGAAAACCTCCTTCCATCAGCAAGGGCATTTAAGATGAAACGTGGCTGGGTCTTTCAGTATGACAATGATCCCAAACACACCGCCCGGGAACGAAGGAGTGGCTTCGTAAGAAGCATTTCAATGTCCTGGAGTGGCCTAGCCCCTCTCCAGATCTCAACCCCATAGAAAATCTTTGGAGGGAGTTGAAAGTCTGTGTTGCCCAGCGACAGCCCCAAAACATCACTGCTCTAGAGGAGATCTGCATGGAGGAATGGGCCAAAATACCAGCAACAGTGTGTGAAAACCTTGTGAAGACTTACAGAAAACGTTTGACCTGTGTCATTGCCAACAAAGGGTATATAACAAAGTATTGAGAAACTTTTGTTATTGACAAAATACTTATTTTCCACCATAATTTGCAAATAAATTCATAAAAAATCCTACAATGTGATTTTCTGGAGAAAAAAAGTCTCATTTTGTCTGTCATAGTTGACGTGTACCTATGATGAAAATTACAGGCGCCTCATCTTTTTAAGTGGGAGAACTTGCACAATTGGTGGCTGACTAAATACTTTTTTCCCCCACTGTATATGTGCTTTCTTGAGCAGGGGGACCTTGCGGCGTTGCAGGATTTCAGTCCTTCACGGCGTAGTGTGTTACCAATTGTTTTCTTGGTGACTATGGTCCCAGCTGCCTTGAGATCATTGACAAGATCCTCCCGTGTAGTTCTGGGCTGATTCCTCACCGTTCTCATGATCATTGCAACTCCACGAGGTGAGATCTTGCATGGAGCCCCAGGCTGAGGGAGATTGACAGTTATTTTGTGTTTCTTCCATTTGCGAATAATCGCACCAACTGTTGTCACCTTCTCACCAAGCTGCTTGGCGACGGTCTTGTAGCCCATTCCAGCCTTGTGTAGGTCTACAATCTTGTCCCTGACATCCTTGGAGAGCTCTTTGGTCTTGGCCATGGTGGAGAGTTTGGATTCTGATTGATTGATTACTTCTGTGGACAGGTCTCTTTTTATACAGGTAACAAGCTGAGATTAGGAGCACTCCCTTTAAGAGTGTGCTCCTAATATCAGCTCGTTACCTGTATAAAAGACACCTGGGAGCCAGAAATCTTTCTGATTGAGAGGGGGTCAAATACTTATTTCCCTCATTAAAATGCAAATCAATTTATAACATTTTTGACATGCGTTTTTCTGGATTTTTTTGTTGTTATTCTGTCTCTCACTGTTCAAATAAACCTACCATTAAAATTATACACGGATCATTTCTTTGTCAGTGGGCAAGCGTACAAAATCAGCAGGGGATCAAATACTTTTTTCCCTCACTGTATATCCACAGTAAAACAAGTCCTTTACCGACATAACCTGAAAGGACGCTCAGCAAGGAAGAAGGCACTTCTCCAAAACCGCCATTAAAAAGGCCAGACTATGGTTTACAACTGCACATGGGGACAAATATCGTACTTTTTGGTGAACTGTCCTCTGGTCTGATGAAACACCATCCCAACCGTGAAGCACGGGGGTGGCAGCATCATGCTGTGGCGGTGCTTTGCTGCAGGAGGGACTGGTGCACTTCACTAAATAGATGGCATCATGAGGATGGAAAATTATGTGGATATATTGAAGCAACATCTCAAGACATCAGTCAGGAAGTTAAAGCTTGGTCACAAATGGGTCTTCCAAATGGACAATGACCCCAAGCATACTTCCAAAGTTGTGGCAAAATGGCTTAAGGACAACAAAGTCAAGGTATTGGATTGGCCATAACAAAGCCCTGACCTCAATCCTATAGAAAATGTGTGGGCAGAACTGAAAAAGCGTGTGCGAGCAAGGAGGCCTACAAACCTGACTCAGTTACACCAGCTCTGTCAGGAGGAATGGGCCAAAATTAACCAAACTTATTGTGGGAAGCTTGTGGAAGGCTACCTGAAACGTTTGACCCAGGTTAAACAATTTAAAGGCAATGCTACCAAATACAAATTGAGTGTATGTAAACTTCTGACCCACTGGGAATGTGATGAAATAAATAAAAGCTGAAATAAATCATTCTCTCTACTATTATTCTGACATTTCACGTTCTTAAAATAAAATGGTGATCCTAACTGACCTAAAACAGGGAATTTTTACTAGGATTAAATGTCAGGTATTGTGAAAACTGAGTAGTAAATGTATTTGGCTAAGGTTTATGTAAACTTCCGACTTCAACAGTAGATATTTCCGTTTTGTATATTTTTTTTTTATACATTTGCCAAAATGTCGAAAAATCGCTTTTTGCTTTGTTATTATGGGATATTGTGTGTAACTTGATGAGGGGAAAAACACAATTTAATCAATTTTAGAATAAGGCTGTAACATAGAGAGGGAGAAGAGGCTGCCACCATGTACAGAATTGCTTAATGATTTGGGCTGATCACTTTTAGGTACCTTAGCCCAAGCAGAGTCAGTCTTCGGGGAGAGGAATAATGATGTGGCTGGAGCAGTGGGTAAACTATTAGATGGAGCGCATGCCCTCTGCCATAATTTATACACCTGGGTGTTTGGATATTTTTATTGCAGTTTTATTTAGGTTCTCGCTGCCTAGGGTTTGGATTGGACCCTCTTTCATGCAGCCTTATCTGTCACTACAAAGGTGTGCGCCGTCATGAAAACATGTTAAAAAAAATATAGATGTTTTTCAAATTTCTTCTAAATGAAATACAGAAATCTAATTCACATAAGTATTCACACTCCTGAGTCAATAATTTGTAGATGCACCTTTGTCTTTCTGGGTATGTGTCTTAAGAGCTTTCCACACCTGGATTGTGCAACATTTGCCCATTTATTATTTTCAAAATTCTTCAAATTGGTTGTTGATTGTTGCTAGACAACCATTGTATGGTCTTGCCATAGATTTTGAAGTAGATTTAAGTCAAACTATATCTCAGCCACTCAGGAAAATCCACTGTCTTCTTGGTAAGCAACTCCAGTGTAGATTTGGCCTTGTGTTTTTGATTATTGTCCTGCTGAAAGGTGAATTCATCTCCCAGTGTCTGGTGGAAAGCAGAATGAACCAGGTTTTCCTGTAGGATTTTCTCTGTGCTTAGTTCCATTCAGTTTTCTTTTTATCCTGAAAAACTCCCCAGTTCTTAACGATTGCAAGTGTACCCATAACACAACACAGCCACCACTATGCTTGAACATATGGAAAGTGGTAGTCAGTAATGTGTTGTATTGGATTTGCCCCAAACATAACACTTTGTATTCAGGACAAAAATGGAATTGCTTTGCCACATTTTCTGCAGTATTACTTTAGTGACTTGTTGCAAACAGAATGCATGTTTTGGAATATTTGTATTCTGTACATGCTTCCTTCTTTTCACTCTGTCAGTTAGGCTAGTATTGTGGAGTAACTACAATGTTGTTGATCCATCCTCCGTTTTCTCCTATCACAGCCACAGCCATAAGTCACCATTGGCCTCATGGGGAAATCCCTGAGCGGTTTCCTTCCTCTCTGGCAACTGAGTTAGGAAGGACGCCTGTAGCTTGGTAGTGACTGGGAATATTGATACACCATCCAAAGTGTAATTAATAACTTCACCATGCTCAAAGGGATATTCAATGTCTGCTTTTATTTTTATTTTACCCGTCTACAAATAGCTGCCCTTCTTTGCGAGGCATTGGAAAACCTCCCTGATCTTTGTGGTTGAATTTGTTTTTGAAATTCACTGCTCAACTGAGCGACCTTACAGATATGTTGATGTGTGTACTACAGAGATGAGGTAGTCATTCAAAGATCATGTTAAACACTATTATTACACACAGAGAGTCCATGCAAAATATTATGACTTGTTAAGCAAATTGTTACTCCTGAACTTATTTAGGCTTGCCATAACAAAGGGGTTGAATACTTATTAACTCAAGACATTTCAACTTTTCATTTTGTATTAATTTGTAAAAATTCAGAATTCTACTTTGACAATATAGGGTATTGTGCGAAGGCCAGTGACAAATAAATCTCAGTAAAACATATAACGCGACAAAATCAAGGGGTGTGAATACTTTTTGAAGGCACTGTATTTAAACTTCTGACAGTGTAGAACTCTCACCTAGCCCAAAGGAGGAGTGATAAGTCTTCCTACAGTACTACTGAGGCCCCTGTCTGTATGCCATGGTCTTCATCAGCTCGCTCTGCTGATTGAATCTGACAGTAATTACCCGCAATTAAAACCTCTGCACCAAGACCAATCACAAAGAGGATGTGGTCGCTGAGGCTCCGTCAGTGTCCGTTTAACGCCATGCCCCCCTGCACGCCGTTGCCACGGTAAGCGGAGCGGAGAGCTCGGAGCCAATCATTTATTTTCCCCACCTCGTGTCATCGGTTTGTTTTCTCTCATGGAGAGCGGACTCCGCCCTCTGGGGGGCCGGCAGTGTGGGTTACAGTCATTACCAGAGTGGAGCAGCTAAGAACAAGGAGACGGAGGCCCCCTTCTTGTTCATTATTGAGACATGATGGGAGGAAGTAGTAGGCTTCTGCTGACCTTGGAAGACCACTCCACACTGCTAAGAGACTAAAACCAAAGAGAACAGATTCTGAGTGGTTCAGTTCTTAAATCCCTTTGTTTTGTGTAGTATTCAGTTACTTAAGTTCCTCTATGCTCACCCAATCCTTTTTTATATATTCCTTTTTAAAGCTTGTCTTAATATGCAGAATTAAAAATCATTTTTACATGGGAATGGAAACACTAATCTTTAGAACACCAGCTAACTGTAAATTGCCATATTGGCATTATTGCATCACCGGTAGGAGAGTTCTGGAATTCCTGAATTATTAATTAGCATAATTTGCTGGTGTCAAATCATGTATGAAAACATGATACATAATTTGAAAGCTGGGAAATGGCTCTTTCAAATGATATGACATACAATAGCACCACATCAATCAAATGGTAATCATTCAAGAAAAAACACCTGTGTAAATGTGTATTTTATACGCCTTTTTCCCCAAAGAACTGCCATTTGCACAACTTCCTAATTAAGATAGAGAAAATGTTAAAGCATATCGAGTCTTCTTTTTTTATTTGTAAGGGTTGATAATCTGAAATCAGAATAGTAATACCTTTTAGGGCGGCAGGTAGCTTAGTGGTTAAGAGCGTTGTGCCAGTAACCGAAAGGTCGCTGGTTCTAATCCCCGAGCCGACTAGGCCCACTTGGAGTTTGCCAAAAGGCACGTAAAGGACTCTCAGACCATGAGAAACAAGGTTCTCTGGTCTGATGAAACCAAGATTTAACTCTTTGGCCTGAATGCCACCCGAGCATCCCAGTGGCAGCATTCACTTTCAGTCTCCGCGCCAAAACTCACTATTTGCGCGCACCTACCAATGACACATTGGCGTCATATTTAAATGCACATGTTTAGTATTAGTGGATTGAATACATCTCTTTGCTTAGCTTTACTTTTTTAAAGTGTTTCCATTCCCCTTTAAGGGCAATATGTTTTCAATCTATGAATCCAATAGAGATCTCAAGTGTAGGCCTCATCTTGGGTCCTCACTGCTGAGTGCTGAGGTTTGCCCTGGCACAGCAGAGCCCGCCCTTCCTCAGAAGCCCCTGGTAACTTGTGCCAAGCGGCTGAGCTGGTACCCTCTGCCAGGCTTAACTCTTAATACCCATGAGATCGCTGGTCCAAACACTGGCCTAGAGGTTCCTAACTGGACTGAGAGAGCTCACTGTTTACCAACCTGAGCCTCTTCTCCCTTAAGGAGCTGGGGCTTATCCTCCTGTAGAACAGCAAAGTACTGTGCTCGTACGCGAGTAGCACCCAACTACGTCTAAGTAATTTACTTGGACTCTAAACAACACGATAACCTCGTCTTGAGGATTTACCTGTTTTCTGTTTAAGTTGTCTTCTAGGTGTTCGTTTAATTTGTGTATTTTATTATCATTGACAAGTTATTTTGTTCTTTCTCCCTTCTCAGGAGGCCATTAACCTGCTGGAGCCCATGACCAATGACCCAGTGAACTATGTGAGACAGGGCGCCCTCATCTCATCGGCCCTCATCATGATCCAGCAGACCGAGGTCACCTGTCCCAAGGTGAGTGGAAGTGAAACAGTCCATCCCATTCACAGCCCACATTTAGGAGAGAAATTGGCGACCAGTAACTTTGTTATTCACAGACTTTAAAATATATTTGTTGTATGGCTAATGGTGGAATTATCTGTTTGCATGTTATGCTAACCTATAGACATTTTCTCTATTTTGAGTCCTCAACTTCTCTGCTGCTGAATCCTAACCAGTCCCAGTGGGGGCTCTGGGTCCTAAGCAAAAGCTGTCTGTTTCAAGCGAGGGGGCTTTCAACTGAGCGATGATGTGCCTCAGTGCCTAATACTGAGTATAATGAGGGAGTGAGAAAATAAATGAAAGGACAAAAGAAAATGAAATTGAGGCAATGGTATTTAACAATGATACCTGATTCACATAGGATTTGCGGTATGTTGCCTGAAAAAATTATAAATTGGGGAATGTTTATATGGTGCCCTTTCAAACAGCCAAATGTTTACCACATTCTTGTCAGCATTCGCCTTTCTATATAGCCATTGCTTAGCCGCAACTGAGCAAGAGGCATTCAACTTTGACCCTGTTGTTGCAGTCATTTTCATGGTAACCTGGCGTGACAGTAAGCTCTAAATTCCCCTCTAAATTCCCCAGACAGAAATGCACTGCTTTCATTTCTTCACATTCACAGCAGTAAGTTAGCAGCTCGCATACATTACCTTGTAATGTGTTAACTTTCCTGTTATGGTGAATAAAAAGTTGGCTACAGTTAAACTCAAAACGTTGTCAGATATGTTCTGGTAATAATATGAGCTGGCTAGCCAGCTAGATAGCTAGCAACAAGCTAAAAGATTGTCTAGAATGTTTCTTTTCGTTGCCTGGCTTGCAAGATTGACATATCCCAAAAAAAAATGGGGGGTGCACAAAAGAATGCAGGTAAAGTTGCTGTTTGGACCAGGCTGCTGCGATGTCATGCAGACTGCTGTTTTTGTGTTTATACTTTTTCATAATGACAAAGACAACTTTAATGTCAGACAACAACAATAGAATGTTCATGATTTAATCCATGCCAAAGACGGTAAGATGAAGGGCGACGTTTATACTGAGAGGTTGGCGGGACTTTGAAATAACATTACCGCAATCATGACTAGGCTGGTTGGCGGAAATACAAGTACAGGCTTTGTCGCCGGTAATACCTTTCAGATATAAAGAAAAGGTGGCAGGTTCTGTTTGAAAGGGATATCAGTCAGCAGAGGGTAGGAAAGAGAAAAGGGTGGGGAGGCTAGCTAAAAGGAGCTGCTCTCTCTCTCTCTTTCTCCGTTTTGCACAACAAGCTCTGTCACAGCCGTTTAAGAAATGCCAGACCCATTTTCAAAGCATCCCCTGGTATCGGCCTGTACAGCAACAGCCTTTGAGCTCGGGGCGGTTTGAAAGATTGTTCAATGAGACTCATTTTAAATTGGAAACGGCAGGAGGCACTACACTTGTGCCCGTGTTTACTCTGGGGGGTATTTTCAGCATCTTTCCAGATTTTGTTTGGTGTGCTCTGTCACTGATGATGGTGGCATAGCAGCTAGCGTGGCAGTACGGCGGGTGTGTGTGTACACCTTGGACATGCAGGTTGTTTATGTAGGCCTACACTGCCATATTGTTAGGGACTGCCCGCCTGCTGGCTTTTTTCTCAGCACACTTTTATTTCAAGCCACGCACACGGTACGTGCCAGTAATGTAAACACACACGCTCAACTAAACTTTTCTTTCATACACACACCCTCTCTCGGTTATTTCGTTGTGTGACATTTTTTATGGTTGAAGCCACGCTGTCATTAATTGCGGTGGGCCTGTTTAAATGTGAAGCCACACTGATGTTTTCAAGTGTTCTTGAAACAGGAAGGAGATCCGGTGCAGTTGTGTTAAATCGTGTTCGTCGAGTATGTGCCTCAGTGCCTCGCTCCCAGGTGGGCCACTTACTTTACAGGACTCATTTTTAATTTCCTTTGAAATATGTTACATGGAATTATTAATGGTAATGTTTTAGCCATATAACCCTTTCTTCTTATATATTTATTATTGAGAAGGGTCTAGTGAGTTTCTAACCAGGTGATAGTGGCTCTCGCTTCATGTCAGTTCCAAATGTGGGCCTTGGCATGCATATTGACTTTATCAGAGGCAAAAACTGGACAACAAAGAACTTAAGTATATTTTATGGAATAAGAGTGCTAGATTATAATGTGGAGGCCCACCAAATGAACTGAACAATGAGTTTGAGTCATAATGGTTTTCGTTGCTTTCCTGACACAGGTGAACCAGTTCCGGCAGCTATACTCCAAGGTCATCAATGACAAGCACGATGACGTCATGGCCAAGTTCGGGGCCATCCTGGCCCAGGGCATCCTGGATGCAGGTCAGTGTCTTGTGTCCAAGTGTGTGTGACTGACATTTGGTGGGATTTCTTCAGAAGATGCGTGGGTGTATCTGTTTCAGTCTGCTGTTTAGGGGAAGTGTGCCTGAATATGTGTGTGTGTTGGCAAGATTTACAGGGGGTCAAGTCCCAGCCGCCCCTCAGGGCTTGACCACCCCTGTGTCCTGTGATTTTCCCCAACTTCCTTCTCTGGAAGCGATCATGCTACGATGCATTAGCACCTGGCTGGCCAGCATTGAGAACAGCAACATGACTCTTGTGATTACTGTTAGTCTGACGGTCTATGTGTTTATTTGTGTGTGTGTATGCGCGCCAGGATTTCCGTTAGCCGGTAGTGCTGAGAGATTAACCAAAATTTAATTTTTTGTTTTTGTGGTTATTAAACAACTAATTGACCAACGTCTATTAGTTGGATACCATTTTACGGCTGCTACGTTAGGTTAGATACACATGTGTTTACAACACAATGACAAGAGAGCGGGATGGAGACAGTCTGCCTGATCTACTTTGAAAAACGAGTAAAATGATTGTCAGACAGCTCTGCAGCATACTTAGGCAGGTTAGCCTAGTTAAATAGGATGTCTAAAGACAGTACAGTATGGGGAAAACAGAGATACTGTAACGTTAGATTGTTGGCTGGCTGGCTGCTACTGCCTGAGCAGAGATGAGATGATGACTTTAAGGAATTAACAATTATAAAGTCATCAAATAAAACTAAGCAATATACACAACTGAAATATTTTATTATTTCATAATAATTTCCTATTTTTCTATGTGGCCCTGACAGAGACGATGGAATATTTTCAATGTTTTGGCAATTGAAAGTTCACAATTTTTGGCTTTGGAATTTCTATTAAAAAGCTCTAATCCTTTTAATGTCATTATTTTATAATGTATTTAATGTGCAAATAAATAATCTGAATCGATAACCGTGAAAAAAAATAAAATAAGTAATCGAACCGAACCTGAACCGATCTCAAAAAGCACAAATCGCTCATTACTATTAGCCTGCTTTTGGCCAAGAAATGAATAAATGAAAAGCCGGCCAATTGTCCGGGAGAAGAAAAAAAGTCCCATTGCAAAATAATGCTTTTTAGCCTATTTAATGATGGAAATACATTTGACCGGTCATGCTTATCGGTCTATAGGTTCATAATTTAGTGGAATTAAATTGGCGCATGTGTATTTTCGTTAGTCGTTATGTTTATCACACGCGCAGAGCATACAGATACAGAGCCTATGATGAGTAGAAATCTGTCAGACAGCTCATTTGTTGCTGCTGGAGTGAAACATGCTTTTATAAGCCCAATCATTGCATAACAATTCTAAATGCAATCGTGTGTTAAATGACTATTTTTATTTCTCAACTGGTAATTGAAGCACAATTTCCATTCGCTATTCAAGTGCATATAGGCTTCAGTGCGTCACACACCACTTTGCAATGAGGTGGAGGCAGTATGCTTTTTTAACATACAGTGAGGGAAAAAAGTATTTGATCCCCTGCTGATTTTGTACGTTTGCCCACTGACAAAGAAATGATCAGTCTATAATTTTAATGGTAGGTTTATTTGAACAGTGAGAGATAGAATAACAACAAAAAAATCCAGAAAAACGCATGTCAAAAATGTTATCAATTGATTTGCATTTTAATGTTTATTGAAAACATAAATACATTTGCACAATGAGCACTTGCAGTCTCTCAAATACATAGTTGAAGTTGTTGGTTAGCTAGCGAATTTCAGCCATATTAGCATTGACATGAAATCAGTCAAAACACCTCAAAACAAGACATGGTATCAAGAACAAGATGAAACGAGCTGAAACGAGCCACTTATGATCCCCCACATGGCAGTTTCTTGTCATTCTTGCTAGCAATCTGATCATCCAGAATCAAAACAACTCGCTGACTTCTGCCCCATTGAAGCGTGCAGGTGGACTCCAATCAAGTTGTAGAAACATATCAAGGATGATCAATGGAACCAGGTCAATTACTTTTTAGTTTAACAAGCTTAAAAGTGAAAAGGGAACAAATGTCAGTAAAACAATGACCTGGCATGGCTAGTATAAGAGAAGAGTGTGTGGTGTTTGCTGTGATTAGGAGGTCAAGGGCTGGGGGTGCAGAGGTAGAATAATAGACCTCCACTGCCCTCTGGGAGTCAAATATGGAGAGGAGGATGGAGGGAGTGAGGGAGTGGGAGGAAGAGAGGTGCGGAGGAGTGTGCGGTTTCTTGCGAGAGCTGCTTTCTAAGGCTAAACCCTCGGTAATGAGCACCAGAGATCATGAAATGGAACCCTAATAGTTTCTGCCTGTCACATTTCATAAGATTATCCAACCCCACACCAAAGAAAAAACTCATAACTTGACTAATACGCCACATCCACATCTGAAATCAAAGTAGTACAGTAGAAGTGAAGTGATGGTTATTTAGGTGGAAGCTGCCTGTACAGTACTCAACACCTATCTTTTCAGGTCGCCTCAAAACATGGATATGTATCTGGGAGCAGTGGCCTGACAGTTTTTAAGGGTAGTAGAGTGAGAGGAGAGGCGCGAGCTTCAGTGTGCTATCTGGCTAACGATCCCGTATTAAGATCTTGTCTGGGCGGTCTTACGTGACAGAAAACAGAGGGGACTTCGGAGTTCTTTATCTTGGCAGGAGAACGGGGTCTCCCAGTTTGATCTTGTCGGTTGCTGTAGTGGCACGGATTGGCTGAAAGCATTATGGGAACACAAATATTGCAAAAGACAAACCCTGCTGCAGTATGAGAGCAATATAGGCTCCTTTACTATAATGTGTACACAAAGTGCACATGCATGCACACAAAAACACAGCATAATTCTGATTTAAACTTGTTGCCAGTGTTAAATTTGACTAAGTATTCTTCAAAATGAAACAAGGCTCGGTTGTGTATACACCAGGTTATATACACCCGCACCTGATGTGTATTTAGACAGCATTTAACACAGAGGGACCTGCTGGTTTCTGTTGAGGTAATACATAAGGCCCAATGTTAGCAGTGGAGTATGCCTTTCTGCTCCGGCCTGTGTTTGGGGTATGCGTATACACATCTGTGTGAGTGTGTGTGTGTCAAGCGTTTGATATGATGATGTGCAGCTCTCTGGGACCCCACACACAAAAGTACACTGGACGCATGCACGCACACACAAAAACGCTCACTGTACGCTTGCACGCACACCAGGGTTCACGGACATTTGACCGGCAGCATTTTAATTTAAATGGACATTTGAGAAATTTACCGGACCCATATGCATTGGGTACGTAACCTGATTAGGGCATCCACCCACGGTGCTCAGAATTACAGAAATCACATTTAGATTATGGTTACTCATCTTATAATTATATATGCAACGGTGTGCATCCTTCTTACCGAATTACGATGCACACTTTGAAGATGTTAGAATAACTGCCACATTTACTTTTCCTCAGCCAACAAGATGAGTAATGAACAGCAAAATCTCTAGCCTATGTCAATCTAATATCCCCCATATTAGAACATTTGACCTATTCTATTAGTCAGCTTGTCGTTCTGTGCGGGAAAGAAATAGCCTATTCCAAACAGACTCTGGGACTGTTGTGGGACGATCGATCCCAAATTCAATAGAACCAGTAGGCCTAGGCTACATATATACAGTGCATTCTGAAAGGATTCAGAGCCCTTGACTTTTTCCACATTTTGTTACGTTACAGCCTTATTCTAAAAATGATATATATATTTTTTTATCTTCATCAAATCTACACACAATACCCAATAATGACAAAGCAAAAACAGGTTTTTAGTATTTACTGCAAATTTATTTAAAAAAAACTAAAAACTGAAATACCTTATTTACATAAGTATTCAGACCCTTTGCTATGAGACTCGAAATTGAGCTCAGGTGCATCCTGTTTGCATTGATCATCCTTGAGATGTTTCTACAACTTGACTGGAGTCCACCTGTGGTAAATGTAATTCATTGGACATGATTTGGAAAGGCACACACCTGTCTATATAAGGTCCCACAGTTGAAAGTGCATGTCAGAGCAAAAACCAAGCCATGAGGTCGAAGGAATTGTCCGTAGAGCTCCGAGACAGGATTGTGTCGAGGCACAGATCTGGGGAAGGGTACCAAAAAATGTCTGCAGCATTGAAGGTCCCCAAGAACACAGTGGCCTCCAACATTCTTAAATGGAAGAAGTTTGGAACCACTAAGACTCTTCTTAGAGCTGGCCGCCCGGCCAAACTGAGCAATCGGGGAAGAAGGGCCTTGGTCAGGGAGGTGACCAAGAACCCAATGGTCACTCTGACAGAGCTCCAGAGTTCCTCTTTGGAGATGGGAGAACCTTCCAGAAGGACAACCATCTCTGCAGCAGGCATCTATGGTAGATCAGGCATTTATGGTAGAGTGGCCGCTCTTCAGTAAAAGGCACATGACAGCCCGCTTGGAGTTTGCCAAAAGGCACCTAAAGGACTCTCAGACCATGAGAAACAACATTCTCTGGTCTGATGAAACCAAGATTGAACTCTTTGGCCTGAATGCCAAGCGTCACGTCTGGAGGAAACCTGGCACCGTCCCTACGGTGAAGCATGGTTTTTCAGCGGCAGGGACTGCGAGACTAGTCAGGATCGAGGGGAAAGATAAACGGAGCAAAGTACAGAGAGGTCCTTGATGAAAACCTGCTCCAGAGTGCTCAGGACCTCAGACTGGGTCTGAATACTTCGTCTTTTGTTTCTTTTTTTTCTGGGGGAAATCAGCTTTTAATATTGCAGAGAGATCGTAGATTCCATCAATGTAATTGTCTTAATCATTTCCAATCCCCCATATATTTATGTACATTTGATATTTCTGTTTTTTTATTTTTAATACAGTGGGGAAAAAAAGTATTTAGTCAGCCACCAATTGTGCAAGTTCTCCCACTTAAAAAGATGAGAGGGACCTGTAATTTTCATCATAGGTACACGTCAACTATGACAGACAAATTGAGAAAAAAATCCAGAAAATCACATTGTAGGATTTTTAATGAATTTATTTAAAATGATGGTGGAAAATAAGTATTTGGTCACCTACAAACAAGCAAGATTTCTGGCTCTCACAGACCTGTAACGTCTTCTTTAAGAGGCTCCTCTGTCCTCCACTCGTTACCTGTATTAATGGCACCTGTTTGAACTTGTTATCAGTATAAAAGACACCTGTCCACAACCTCAAACAGTCACACTCCAAACTCCACTATGGCCAAGACCAAAGAGTTGTCAAAGGACACCAGAAACAAAATTGTAGACCTGCACCAGGCTGGGAAGACTGAATCTGCAATAGGTAAGCAGCTTGGTTTGAAGAAATCAACTGTGGGAGCAATTATTAGGAAATGGAAGACATACAAGACCACTGATAATCTCCCTCGATCTGGGGCCCCACGCAAGATCTCACCCCGTGGGGTCAAAATGATCACAAGAACGGTAAGCAAAAATCCCAGAACCACACGGGGGGACCTAGTGAATGACCTGCAGAGAGCTGGGACCAAAGTAACAAAGCCTACCATCAGTAACACACTATGCCGCCAGGGACTCAAATCCTGCAGTGCCAGACGTGTCCCCCTGCTTAAGCCAGTACATGTCCAGGCCCGTCTGAAGTTTGCTAGAGTGCATTTGGATGATCCAGAAGAGGATTGGGAGACTGTCATATGGTCAGATGAAACCAAAATATAACTTTTTGGTAAAAACTCAACTCGTCGTGTTTGGAGGACAAAGAATGCTGAGTTGCATCCAAAGAACACCATACCTACTGTGAAGCATGGGGGTGGAAACATCATGCTTTGGGGCTGTTTTTCTGCAAAGGGACCAGGACGACTGATCCGTGTAAAGGAAAGAATGAATGGGGCCATGTATCGTGAGAATTTGAGTGAAAACCTCCTTCCATCAGCAAGGGCATTGAAGATGAAACGTGGCTGGGTCTTTCAGCATGACAATGATCCCAAACACACCGCCCGGGCAACGAAGGAGTAGCTTCGTAAGAAGCATTTCAAGGTCCTGGAGTGGCCTAGCCAGTCTCCAGATCTCAACCCCATAGAAAATCTTTGGAGGGAGTTGAAAGTCTGTGTTGCCCAGCGACAGCCCCAAAACATCACTGCTCTAGAGGAGATCTGCATGGAGGAATGGGCCAAAATACCAGCAACAGTGTGTGAAAACCTTGTGAAGACTTACAGAAAACGTTTGACCTGTGTCATTGCCAACAAAGGGTATATAACAAAGTATTGAGAAACTTTTGTTATTGACCAAATACTTATTTTCCACCATAATTTGCAAATAAATTCATTAAAAATCCTACAATGTGATTTTCTGGAAAAAAAATTCTCATTTTGTCTGTCATAGTTGACGTGTACCTATGATGAAAATTACAGGCCTCTCTCATCTTTTTAAGTGGGAGAACTTGCACAATTGGTGGCTGACTTTTTTTCCCCACTGTACATTTGCAAAAATTTCAAAACACCTGTTTTTACTTTGTCATTATGGGGTATTGTGTGTACATTGAGGGGTAACAAAAAACATTCCATTTTAGAATAAGGCTGTAACGTAACGTGGAAAAAGTCAAGGGGTCTGAATACTTTCAGAATGCACTGTAAGCATTGGACATCAACTATTCTAAGTTGGCCTTAGTAGGAGTGACTATAGAATTCTATATTTGTCATTTATTTTTTGCGAATCACACTACTGTGAGGCGTGGCTCCATAAGAGGTGCACAAGACACATACAGGGGAGGTATAGGGGGAACATGTTATAGGAGATAATTGGTTGTTAGATTAAACCAATGCCTATATGCCGGGAGTTTCTCACGGTCTGTATTGGCTAACGAAGGCCAAGTTTGAGGCTTTGGTCCACCAGACTCTTAGCGCATTTGTGCCGAAGTGTCTGAGAACGAGTTTTATTGTATCCCCCTTTTGCGCTTCCCTCCTAACTCTGTCTTTTTGTTGTCTTCATCTCTCTATTTCTCTGATTTATGGTTGACTGAACTGGAAGATCCTTGTAGCCAAAGCACAAAGATTATCACAACTGTATTATCACAACTATGTCAAAACTCTTCTGTCCTCCCTGTGTGTGTGTGCAGGTGGCCGTAACGTCACCATCTCCCTGCAGTCGAGGACGGGACACACCCACATGCCGTCAGTGGTGGGCCTGCTGGTATTCACCCAGTTCTGGTTCTGGTTCCCCCTTTCCCACTTCCTCTCCCTGGCCTTCACCCCCACCGCCATCATCGGCCTCAACAAGGACCTCAAGGTAAACAACGTGTGTGTGTGGGGTGCGTCTGAAGTATACGCATGGATACGAGCGACTTGGTGTGTGTGCTATCATTGGCTTGAACAAGGACCTGAAAATAAAATGGTCTTAACGCATGCCTATCTCCAGAGGAGGGAGGGACTTACTGTCTTGTTGTCCCATACCAAAAGCACCTGACAACAGGGGTGTGTGTGTCAGTGTTTCCACTGCAGTCATTTAGCTGTGGCACTTCGCCACGGCAAAATCATTGCTGCCACATCCAAAAATAGATGCTGGAGTAGTCCACATTTACTTTTCCCCTGCAAACAAAACGAGTAATGAATAGAAAAATCGGACAACCCCATAGTAGAATAGTTGATCTATTTACCTAGTCGGCTTGTTGTGTGTTCTATGCGAGATAAATATTCCTCTCGAGGCGCGTTCAAGTTACGAGTGCCATAGGGAGGGAATTCCCAGAATCGAATATAGGCTGCAAAAATAGCCAACATTTTATTTATACTGAACAAAAATATAAACACAACATGTAAAGTGTTGGTACCATGTTTCATGAGCTGAAATAAAAGATCCCAGACATTTTCCATAGCCACAAAAAGCTTATTTTTCTCAGTTTTTTTGGCACAAATTTGTATTCATCCCTGTTAGTGTGCATTTCTCCTTTGCCAAGGTAATCCAGCCACCTGACAGGTGTGGCATATCAAGAAGCTGATTAAACAGCATGAACATTACACAGGTGCACCTTGTGCTGGGGACAATAAAAGGTGCAGATTTGTCACATAACACAATGCCACAGATGTCTCAGGTTTTGAGGGAGCATGCAATTGGCATGCTGACTGCAGGAGGTCCACCAGAGTTGTTGCCAGAGAAGAATGTTCATTTCTCTACCATAAGCCGCCTTCGATGTTGTTTTAGAGAATTCGGCAGTACGTCCAACCGGCCTCACAACCGCAGACCACGTGTAACCATACCAGCCCAGGACCTCCACATCCGGCTTCTTCAACTGTGGGATCGTCTGAGACCAGCCACCCGGACAGCTGATGAAAAATTTGGGTTTGCACAACCAAAGTACAGTATCAGTCAAAGTTTGGACACACCTTCAAGAGTTTTAATTTAATTTTTTACATTGTAGAATAATAGTGAAGACATCAAAACTATGAAATAACACATATGGAATCATGGAGTAACCAAAAAAGTGTTAAACAAATCAAACTATATTTTATTTAGGAGATTCTTCAAAGTAGCCACCCTTTGCCTTGTTGACAGCTTTGCACACTATTGGCATTCTCTCAACCAGCTTCATGAGGTAGTCACCTGGAATGCATTTCAATTAACAGGTTGCCTTGTTAGAAGTTAATTTGTGATTTTTTTTTTTCCTCCTTAATGCGTTTGAGCCAATCAGTTGTGTTGTGACAAGGTAGGGATGGTATACAGAAGATAGCCCTATTTGGTAAAAGACTAAGTCTATATTATGGCAAGAACAGCTCAAATAAGCAAAGATAAACGACAGTCCATCATTACTTTAAGATATGAAGGTCAGTCAATCTGGAACATTTCAATGGAACATTTCAAGAACTTTTAAAGTTTCTTCAAGTGCGGTCGCAAAAACCATCAAGCGCTATGATGAAACTGACTCTCATGAGGACCGACACAGGAATGAAAGACCCAGAGTTACCTCTGCTGCAGAGGATAAGTTCATTAGAGTTAACTGCACCTCAGATTGCAGCCCAAATAAATGCTTCACAGAGTACAAGTAACAGACACATCTCAACATCAACTGTTCAGAGAAGATTACGTGAATCAGGCCTTCATGGTCGAATTGCTGCAAAGAAACTACTACTAAAGGACACCAATAATAAGAAGAGACTTGCTTGGGCCAAGAAACATGAGCAATGGACATTAGACTGGTGGAAATCTGTTCTTTGGTCTGATGAGTCCAAATTTGCGATTTTTGGTTCCAACCGCCATGTCTTTGTGAGACGCAGAGTAGGTGAACGGATGATCTCCGCATGTGTGGTTCCCACCGTGAAGCATGGAGGAGGAGGTGTGATGGTGTGGGAGTGCTTTGCTGGTGACATTGTCTGTGATTTATATAAAATTCAAGACACACTTAACCAGCATGGCTACCACAGCCTTCTGCAGCGATACGCCATCCCATCTGGTTTGGGCTTAGTGGGACTATCATTTGTTTTTCAATAGGACAATGACCCAACACACCTCCAGGCTGTGTAAGGGCTATTTGATCAAGAAGGAGAGTGATGGTAGTGCTGCATCAGATGACCTGGCCTCCACAATCACCCGACCTCAACCCAATTGAGATGGTTTGGGAGGAGTTGGACCGCAGAGTGAAGGAAAAACAACCAACAAGTGCTCAGCATATGTGGGAACTCCTTCAAGACTGTTGGAAAAGCATTCCAGGTGAAGCTAGTTGAGAGAATGCCAAGAGTGTGCAAAGCTGTCATCAAGGCAAAGGGTGGCTATTTGAATCTCAAATACAAAATATATTTTAATATGTTTAACACTTGTTTGGTTAGTACATGATTCCATATGTGTTATTTCATAGTTTTGATGTCTTCACTATTATTCTACAACGTAGAAAATAGTAAAAATAAAGAAAAACCTTTGAATGAGTAGGTGTGTCCAAACTTTTGACTGGTACTGTATTTCTGCACACACTGTCAGAAACTATCTCAGGGAAGCTCATCTGCGTGCTCGTCGTCCTCACCAGGGTCTTGACCTTACTACAGTTAGGCGTTGTAACCGACTTCAGTGGGCAAATGCTCACCGTAGATGGCCATTGGCACGCCGGAGAAGTTTGCTTTCACGGATTAATCCCAGTTTCAACTGTACCGGGCAGATGGCAAACAGCATGTATGGCGTTGTGTGGACAAGCGGTTTGCTGGTGTCAACGTTATGAACAGAGTGCCCCATGGTGGCGGTGAGGTTATGGTATGTGCAGGCAAAGCTACGGACAACAAATACAATTTCATTTTATCGATGGCAATTTTAATTCACAGAGATACCGTGACGAGATCCTGAGGCCCATTGTCGTGCCATTCATCTGGCGCCATTACCTCAAGTTTTAGCATGATAATGCACGTCCCCATGTCAGAAGGATCTGTACCCAAAGCTCAAACATTTTCAGTATTTCCATGGCTCGCATACTCACCAGACATGTTACCCACTGGGCATTTGTGGGATTCTCTGGATCGACGTGTACGACAGTGGTTTCCAGTTTCCGCCAATATCCAGCAACTTCACACATCCGTTGAAGAGGAGTGGGACAACATTCCACAGGCCACAATCAACAGCCTGATCAACTCTATGCGAAGGAAATGTGTCGCGCTGCATGAGGCAAATGGTGCTCACACCAGATACTGACTGGTTTTCTGATCCACGCCCCTACTTTTTGTTGTTGTTGTTGGTATCTGTGACCAACCGATGCATATCTGTATTCCCAGTCATGTGAACTCCATAGATTAGGGTAAAATATTTTAAATTGTTGCATGTTGCATTTATACTTTTGTTCTTTGCAGTAGGCTACTCAAACTTTTACCAGCAGTACCAGTTTACACTTTAAATGGACTGCGTATGGTCTAATGAACGAAATCCTGAATTAATGTAATAATTAACTGATAACTAACTGAATTATCGAAAACAAATAGGCCTGCCTGCTTGCACTTTGTGCAGGCTGTGTATGCATCTAACGCATTGTTGTTCTCCCAATCTGGGCATTTCACTCGAGTAGCACCTGTTTCCACGATGGTGTTGTAGCCTATTGTTCTTTTTATTTCTCCGGTTAGGCCTAGTTAGCCATTTTCGCGTGAACTAGGCTATCCAGGGAAGGTAAACCTGGCGACGTGTCGTATTATCACGTGGGGAGAGGGAACATAAGCTCTGCTTGTGGACAAATTAGAACGATTTAGCACCACACAAATAAGGTACAGTTTCTAGCTCCACACACTTTCAATTAACGCGCGGCTTGTTGCGTTATGTCTGCCTCGCCGCTCACAGAATGGAATTCGCAACACAATGCAACGCAACAAGCTCCTGGGTTTTTTCAAATGTTTACGACCCGCAACGTAATTGTTCTGAACCGCGAGCCACCAGCAGCTGATTTTTTTGCGGCTCACCCGCAGGGAACCGTGGGTATCTGACCCGACTTAGGACTCGACTAATGATTAGTCCCAATAGGGTAAATGCAGATGGATAACCTCATGCTTCAGCCTATTTATAGCCACTATGCTGCAGCATTTGGGCTATAGGTGATAATGCTTATTGCTAATAGCATGCTTGATAATATGGACCATGCATAGGCTATATTTTTTTAAATAATAATTTTGTCAATATGTTAGGGATTAGCATCTTGCCCTTTCAAGACAATTCAATGCGTATCTAGATACATGGGCTCCGATACGATACAGGAACGATACCTTTTAGCTTGAAATGATTCAGTTTGATTAGAGAAAGAGTCGATGAGATACGATAACGTGTAAACACATTCATTTTCCTTTCTAAATTAAAATCTTCTGCCGATGGAGCTCATGAGCTGGGCCTCTGAGCTGGATCTGTGTAAGCTGACTTCTGTGTGGTGTGTGTGTGTGTAAATGATGTACGTGTGTGTGTGTGTGTGTGTGTGTGTGTGTGTGTGTGTGTGTGTAAATTATGTATATCTATGGTGTATGTACTATATAGGCACCTGATCTGAGACATAAGAGCGACTAGGCATCTACCACCCCACTACCAATATCAGACTAGTTGGGGCAATGTAGCCTGTTTTTTGTCCCCTCACTTAGGTTCTGAAATCAACATTCCCCACTAATTAACTTGTCATTTTTGTAGATTAAGTATTTGAGCTAGTAATGTATCAATATTTATAGTTGACAAATTTAGCTATGACATAGCCAATGAATGTATAAGCACATCTTTGAATTTCACCCCCAACCCGAAATCGAATGGTTTTGACCGTTTGGAAGTTTTTAGTGAGCTTATTTTCTCCTCCAGCTTTGGCCATGCGGTGCGTCTCACAAAGGGATTGTTGTCCTCGTTATGAAATTATCAACTTGACCCTGTATATCTAAAAATGACCATATACACTGATTGTTAAAGCAAAACTACCAAAACATTTGCTGATGGTGAACCTGTACAATCATAATGAAATATATTGTAAGCCCCGTTCATCAGGTAGCATGTATAGCCAGATGAGAGTTCTCCTGTAGCTTACTTTTTATTCCAGTGAAACACATTTTCTCTTCAGCGCATAGATAACAATAACCTAGCAAATTACATAGGTTGTCACTCAACTAATAAAGCCTAATATTGTATTGAATGTGCCAGATCTGGAACAGGATGCCTACCTTGCGTTGGTCAGTGCACGAAGCTGGGCACAGTGCGCAGTTTGACTAGGCTACTGATATTCCCTGGGGTTGTTCGGCATGTTAAATTATTTGTAGATCAATGACTGTCAACACAGTTACATGCTTAGTTCGACACTGAAGGAGAGGACGTCAGTTGTCACAAAATATGAGGTATTTTCGGAAGGTAGAAAGAATGTCATATGAGCAAACATTTATTGTGAATCAGTGATTCGTAACGTTTGAATCGATTTTCTGACTGATGCATGCTACATTTGGATCGGTTTGGGGTCCGCAGTCGTATCTTAAACATTTGAATCTGGGACCGATGTGTATCGGTGAATCGTTACATCCCTACAATATGTTATTTGGCTCATTCCTGGAGGTGGAAATTATATTTTAGATGGTGTCAGCATAATTTTATTTTCATTAATTTTGGAGTAGAATGTCCTTTTAAAAAGTCACCAGAACTGAGCTTCTCAGTCCTTTTACATAAAAATGTCCATGGGGGGGACCCCGGTCCCCCAAAACAGGACCTGGGCTGGGACACTGGGCTTAATGGAGTTACAAACCATTTTCTGCCCCTCAGCTTCACATACAGTTCCTTCAGAAAGTATTCACACCCCTTGACTTTTCCCACATTTTGTTGTGTTACAGCCTGAATTTAAAATGTATTAAATCGCGATTTTTGGTCACTGGCCTACACACAATACCCCATAATGTCAAAGTGGAATTATGTTTTTGAAAATGTTTATAAATTAATTAAAAATGAAAAGCTGAAATGTCCTGAGTAAATAAGCATTCGACCCCTTTGTTTTGGGAAGCCTAAATAAGTTCAGGAGTAAAAATATGCTTAACAAGTCACATAGTAAGTTGCAAGGACTCACTCTGTGTGCAATAGTGTTTAACATGATTTTTGAACGACTACCTCAGCTCTTTACCCCACACGTACAATTATCTGTAAGGTCCCTCAGTCGAGCAGTGAATTTCAGATTCAACCACAAAGACTAGGGAGGTTTTCCAATGCCTCGCAAAGAAGGGCACCCGTTGGTAGATGGGTAAAACAAATTTTGAATATCACTGTGAGCATGGTGAAGTTATTAATTACACTTTGGATGGTGTATCAAGTCACTACAAAGATACAGGCAGCCTTCCTAACTCAGTTAGAGTTTAATGGCTTTGATAGGAGAAAACTGAGGATGGATCAACAACATTGTAGTTACTCCACAATACTAACCTAATTGACAGAATGAAAAGAAGGAAGCCTGTAAAGAATAAAAATATTCCAAAACATGCATCCTGTTTGCAATAAGGCAGTAAAGTAATACTACAAACATTTTGCCAAAGCAATTACATTTCTGTCCTGAATACAAAGTGTTATGTTTGGGGCAAATCCAGCACAACACATTACTGAGTACCACTCTCCATATTTTCAAGCATAGTGGTGGCTGCATCATGCTATGGACAATAATGGAAGACAGTGAATGTTTTTAAGTGTAGGAGTTACAGTTTTGACTTAAATCTACTTGGGAATCTATGGCAAGACCTGAAAATGGTTGTCCAGCAATGATCAACAACCAATTTAACAGAGCTTGAAAAATTGTGATAAAAAGAATGGGAAAATGTTGCACAATCCATGTGTGGAAAGCTCTTAGAGACTTACCCAGAAAGACTCACAGCTGTAATCGGTGCCAAAGGTCCCTCTACAAAGTATTCACTCAGGGGTGTGAATACTTAAGTTCCAGCCTTAGCAGTTGCCCAGATCAGCAGTTGTGCCCGGTGGCTTTGTGCGCCTACAGGAGAAGACATTGTTGTTTACCAGCACTCATATTGTGCCACCCTACTGCAGTCATGCCATTCCATGCCAGCCTTTTATCGCACTTTATGTTCAACTTCCCCCTCATACTTAACACCACCCTGCAGAGAACAGAAGTGAGTTATGACATAACATTAAACTAAATGAAAGCCTCTCTGGTCAGTGTTGGCTCCCTATACGGTGCTGTTTTAGAATTTGACGGGAAATGTTAACACATTGATTTCCTGTTGGCATTATCAATTGACTACAAGTGAGTAGGCGTTATACTATTTTGTTCCAGTGAAATAAATGATTTGTATTATTTACAACTGACTTTCCATGAAAACGCATTTCAGATACAACGCTCAATGCGCTCATATACATGCGTACATACCATGCACCGTAACTACTATGCTCACCAACAGTAAAAAAAAAAGTAATAATAATAATTACATTCTGAGTGGTATTAGTATCAATGTGGCCAAAGGAATGTGGTGTTTTCAGCGTTTCTTGTTGTCAAGCCAGCCTATGAATAAGTCAAACGGGACATCCCTTTTCATAGGGTGCTGGGTTGGACATTACAACCATTGCTTTTTATTGGTGTTTGACCACACTCTTCCCCCCTATCCAGATGCCCAAGGTACAGTACCGCTCCAACTGTAAGCCCTCCACCTTTGCCTACCCTCCGGCCTTGGAGGTGCCCAAGGAGAAAGAGAAGGAGAAGGTGAGTCCCCTAACGGCAAAAGAATGTCACCTTGTTTTGATCGATTGAAGTCATATCGCGGTTGTCATTCTGAATGAAGTGTCCTCAGCTGTCATCAATTTCTTGGAGGGTTTTGTTATTAGTGTCCCTTTTGAACGCTTTCTCATAATTTTCATTTCATTGCCATGTTCTCAGTCTGCTCAGTCTAGTGCCCAAGTTTTGTTTCATTTTAGAACCTAGGTTCACTTCAATAACGTAATAAAAAAACGGGCTATTTTGTTGTTCATGCATTCTAAGAAGTTTTGTGATTGGGCTCATTGCCTGAAGTATTGTTGTTTATTGTCTCTCACTCCCTCTTTCTCCATGATAGGTGTCTACTGCGGTTCTCTCCATCACAGCCAAAGCTAAGAAGAAGGAAAAGGAGAAGGAGAAGAAGGAGAAGGAGGAGGAAAAGATGGAAGTGGTGAGTGTGTGGAAACAAAACCCGTCCTTTTACGACAGCCAGCCCCACTTTCTATTTGTGTTTGTTGTTTTTTTTACTTCAAATTAAGTCTTAGTTTCTATGTAGATGTTTTCAACCATCCTCAAGCAAGAATCCTGTAGCCCCCGTCCCAAACAGAGCTCTGTTCATATTGATAGTGAGGTGTTAATGGTTCACAGACCTGAACAACAGTCAAACGTTTTGGGCCCGGTACCAGGGCTCTGCAGCCTCCTTTAAAGGGGTAGTTCACTCCAAATCCATAAACTGCTTATTGATTTCTTACCTCAGAAGTCATTACCAGGCACATAGACTACTGCAGAGAAGACCATTTCAAAGGTAAGAAAACTATAAATTGAAATGTGAGTGAACTATTCCTTTAAAGTAGCAGTTATCATGAAATATGAAATGAGGGAACTATCCCTTTAAGGACCAGCTAGCTCTCAGCCTTGGCAGGGTCCCACAGCCCCTCTCTCCACAGATGTTACCAACTCACCCATGAAGCACTCAGCTGGAACACACCAAACAAATCAAATTATTTGTCACATGCTTCATAAACAACAGGTGTAGACTAACATGCTTACTTGCAGGTCCTTTTCCAACAATGTAGAGTAACGAAAAATATATACAGTACCAGTCAAAAGTTTGGACACACCTACTCATTCAAGGGTTTTTCTTTATTTTAAATATTTTCTACATTGTAGAATAATAGTGAAGACATCAAAACTATGAAATAACACATATGGAAACATGTAGTAACCAAAAAAGTGTTAAACATATCAAAATATATTTTGTATTTGAGATTCAAATAGCCACCCTTTGCCTTGATGACAGCTTTGCACACTCTTGGCATTCTCTCAACCAGCTTCACCTGGAATGCTTTTCCAACAGTCTTGAAGGAGTTCCCACATATGCTGAGCACTTGTTGGCTGCTTTTCCTTCACTCTGCGGTCCGACTCATCCCAAACCATCTCAATTGGGATGAGGTTGGGGGATTGTGGAGGCCAGGTCATCTGATGCAGCACTCATCACTCTCCTTGGTCAAATAGCCCTTACACAGCCTGGAGGTGTGTTGGGTCATTGTCCTGTTGGAAAACAAATGATAGTCCCACTAAGCCCAAACCAGATGGAATGGTGTATCGCTGCAGAATGCTGTGGTTGCCATGCTGGTTAAGTGTGCCTTGAATTCTAAATAAATCACTGACAGTGTCACCAGAAAAGCACCATCACACCACCTCCTCCATGCTTCACGGTGGGAACTACACATGCGGAGATCATCCGCTCACCTACACTGCGTCTCACAAAGACACAGCGGTTGGAACAAAAAATCTCCAATTTGGACTCCAGACCAAAGGACAGATTTCCACCGGTCTAATGTCCATTGCTCGGCAAAGGGTGGCTACTTTGAAGAATCTCAAATATAAAATATATTTTGATTTATTTAACACTTTTTTGGTTACTACTTTGTCATTTTCTCACACAAACACTGTATGGGAGTGTTTGTTCTGCAGTTAACACACACACATAGACAAACAGGCATGCTGATATGAGTCATTGCACCGCTATGGTCCAGTTTTCAGCCTAGCGTCAGATGGTGCAGGGCTTCCTGGTAGCAGCCGGCTCCACACATGGGTGGTATAGGGCAGGGAATGGATGATAGGCAAGGATAGGTAACACAGGGAGGGCAGACATAGAATGCCAGGCCAGGCTCTGATAGGTAAGTGCCGCAAGGTTTATTTGTTTGTTTATTTGGATCCCCATTTAGCTTTTGCGGAAGCATCAGCTACTCTTCCTGGGGTCCACAAAAATGCAAAACATGACAAGTAACAAAACACTGATAGACAAGGACAGTCACACAAATGTGAAATACGATATACAAACAATACAACAAAAAAATTATACAAACAATGCGTCTCCCGAGTGGCGCAGTGGTCTAAGGCACTGCATTGCAGTGCTAGCTGTGCCACTAGAGATCCTGGTTCGAATCCAGGCTCTGTCGTAGCCGGCCGCGACCGGGAGACCCATGGGGTGGCGCACAATTGGCCCAGCGTCGTCCAGGGTAGGGGAGGGAATTTCCGGAAGGGATGTAGCTCAGTTGGTAGAGCATGGCGTTTGCAACGCCAGGGTTGTGTGTTCGATTCCCACGGGGGGCCAGTATAAAAAAAATAAGTATATATATATATATAATGTATGCACTCACTAACTGTAAGTCGCTCTGGATAAGAGCGTCTGCTAAATGACGTAAATGTAAAAATATTGTGTGTCTGTGTGTGCATGTGTTTGTGTCCCCTCAGTCCCTGCCATTCCATGAGATGTTTAATCTGTTTTTTAAAGGTAATTTAGCTGTTTTGTTGAGTAATTGGAGATGGAAGGAAGTTCCATACGATCATGGCTCTATATAATACTGTGCGTTTCCATGAATTCTGTTTGGACTTGGGGACTGTGAAGAGACCCCTGGTGGCATGTCTTGTGGGACATGAATGGGTGTCTGAGATGAATGTTATTTGATTATGCAGACAATTTGGAATATTCATTACAGTAATATTTCTCATGAAAACTAGAAGAGAAGCAGTTAATCTCTCGTCAACCAGAAAAGACTGGCATGAATGTTGTTAGTTCTGTGTGTGCTGTTAAGGGCAAGGTGTGCTGCTCTGTTTTGAGCCAGCTGCAGCTTTGCTAGGTCTTTCTTTGCTGCACTTGACCATATTTCCAGACAGTAATCAAAATGGGACAAGACCAGAGCCTTAACATCTAGTACAATTGATTTTTGTGTCAAAAGCGCAGAACATCTTTTGATAAGACATACTCCTCCCCATCTTCACAACAACTTTGTCAATATGACTTGACCATGATAATTGACCATCCAATGTTATACCTAGGAGTTTTGCTTCCTCAATTTGCTCAATGGTTACACCCTTTATGCACAACTAGGGCTGTGGCGGTCACGAAATTTAGTCAGCTGGTGATTGTTAAGCAAATAACTGTCAGTCTCAAGGTAATTGACGTTAATTAACATAAACACATTTAGCATCTCCTGGCTTCCACACACGGCCTACAAGCCACTGATGCAGACCTTTGGAACCTCTACATTTAAAAAAGTATAATAAGTCCTTGTAATATAGCCTACACCTTCACAATAAATCCATTATTTATTTTAGACAGATCTAAAGAAGCATGATATGAAGAAACTGTAGTCTATTTCAGAAGAACAGAATAGCATACTCTGAGTTGTCCTTATGTTAGGTCCTGATCTGGCTATGCCAAATGGCTGTGGGCTACACTAGTTAATTTAGCAGACAAGATTTGCTTATAATTCCATGGCATTATTTTATAGTATGAAGAATACAATTGAACAAAGCTGAATAAAATAGAAAGGATCATTTCTCCAAACGGTTTGAGGGTGTGTGCCACATGCGGCTATTCTGTGTTGAGCGGTTAACAAAGAAAAAGGTACTCCTATATGCTTAATTTAGAGTTATTAATGTAACTTTAGTTGTTCTATAAACGTTGGGCTATATGTTTTGACAAGCACTTGATAATGCCTCGAATTTCACGGCGGCATCCCCTTTGTGTGGCCGTAATGCACCCTAAAAAAATCCATGCCTTTTGCGGCCAGTGGCCGTTGTGCCCTTGGCCCGGAGTGCTGTGTTGTGCCCTTCTCCTTGAGTGCTGTGCGCTCTGAAGCACCTCTCACTCACATCGCTCTCCATCACGTGATCAGGTCTTTCTCACAGGCTACAAGTGAAGACAGACACATCGGGGAGACGCAACCGCGCACGTCCTTATCCAATTCCGAGGTGCATATTGAAGATAATGGAAGAACTGTCCACATTTACTTTTCGTCAGCCAACAAGATGAGTAGGCCTAACGAACAGCAAAAGCACTAGCCTATGTCAATCTACTGTGACCTATTCTGTGCGAGAAATAAATATTCCAAACATAGTGTGGGACAGTTGTGGGATGCAATGGATCCCAAATTAACACAACCACTAGCATCCCAAAAATGTTTTACGCAATGTGGCTGACTCAACAGATCAGAACGTTTAGCTTTAAATGTTGATTAACTATTCAGCTATTTCTTCACATTATAAGCGCCGCAATGCGCGCATGGCAGTAGGCTATAAGCACGAATGTTACATTATCGGGAAAACATCATTATCAAAAGTGATCACAAATGCGATTATGAATGTAATGCTTTTATTATAAAGGTGCATTCTTATGGTGAAAATTATCTTCCCCAAACTTGAAACTCACGCGCTGCTTATGTATGCCAGTTAGGCTCTACACACCTTGTAACGCTGATTCATGTGCTTAATTTTAAAGAAGTTATTTGGCCACTTATCAAAACATATAGGCCTATGGGCTAGGCTACATGAGGTGTGCGACTAATCGAAAAAGTAATGCAAAAAAAAAGCATTTGTTTCTTGCCTTATGCTGGGCATCATTCACAAGTGATAATATATAATTCACAAGTGATAGGCTAATATTGTCACCCATCAGACTATTGTTGATTTAATCTTCTCTTTACATATACTAAATAATATGTGTGAAATTTGTTTTGATTTAGAATGGACCATTATCATGCACCTGTCTCGAAAAAGGCAGCGGGAAAAAATAAATGTAATCTATGCACTTAAATAGCGAATGGAGGATGCTTTTCCCATGATTCATTTTCATACCAGCCAGGTAGGCTATACTCCTGTTGTAAAGATAAGCAATGTGCTTAATATTAGGAAAGTTGAGAAATAAATATAGTAGGCCTAGCCTATAGAAAGCTGATGGGATCCTCCTCTTTTTAATAGAGGCCATCACTCTGTTTTCTCGCGCAATTGCATAGCCTATAGAAATGTTGCGCAACAAGAGCTCATGGGTTCTCATGAAGTGGTTGATTAGATTTTCAAAATACATTTGCATTGATGTCAGAGTGATTAGAGGGACAATAGTGCTGAGTACCAGGCAGTTAGCATGTTTGGTAGGCTACTAATGACCATCAGCAGCATCAGAGCTTGGAGAAGCCTAATTACCGTGACTAAACGGGTAGCTTAGTGGTTAAGAGCGTTGTGCCAGTAACCGAAAGGGTCACTGGTTCTAATCCTCGAGCCGACTAGGTGAAAAATCTGTCGATGTGCCCTTGAGCAAGGCACTTAACCCTAATTGCTCCTGTAAGTCACTCTGGATAAGAGCGTCTGCTAAATGACTAAAATTTAAATGTAAACGGTCACGTAGAATTTTTTATCAATTTCTTTTAACCAATCATCTGTCATCTTAGTCAATGCAGTACACGTTGAATGCCCGTATGCATGCTGAAAGTCAGTAGTTGTTCTCTGAAAAATAGCATTGTATTTGGTCAAACACAATTCTCTCCATCAGTTTACTAAGAAGAGGCAGCAAACTAATTGGGCGGCTGTTAGAGCCAGCAACAGGTGCTTTACTGGGTTGTTTTTGGCAGTGGACTTACTTTAGCTTCCTTCCACGCCTGTGGACACACGCCTTTCGGATTTGGTTAAAGATATAGCAAATAGGGGTGGCAGTACAGTCTGCTACCATTCTCAATAGTTTCCCATCAAGGTTGTCTATACCTAGTGGCTTATTGTTATTGATGGATAACAATAGTTTTTCCACCTCTCCCACACTAACTTGACCAAAAGAAAGTGTGTCCATTTCAGAGAAACGGAAAGTCACCCACTAAAAAAGGCAGGCCAAAGAAGCTTGTAATATAAACTTAATTTTCATGCCGCTCCCCCGCAGGACCGTGTACCCTTCAATAACTCAGACCCGACACACAGACAGTGTCTTATAGAGGGGGAGTTTGTTGTATTGTTTGGTTAGTTGAACATTGAGATTGTCTTGCGCGGGGCACTGCAAATAGCCTAACAAATCACTGGCCACCAAGTGCAACACAACAGATAAGGTGTATTAACCATCTCAAGATAAACACATCTTCCAGAGTTGAAACTTTTCAGTTGTCGGGAAACGTGTGACATGAAAAGCACACTTTATTTTGGGTTTACGCTTATTGCCATTGACATCTATTGTATTATCCAATGCATTTTGTAGTCACTGAGTCATGGGTTTTCCTCGAGAAGAGGGGGGGAAACGCTTAGCATTTTTTGTGTTTGTTGGACTCTCAGGAGGTACAGGAGGCTGAGAAGGAGAAGAAAGATGAGGAGAAGGAGAAGGAGAAGGAGAAGGAGAAGAAGAAGGAGCCCGAGCCCAACTTCCAGCTGATGGAGAACCCAGCCAGAGTGATGCCCGCCCAGCTCAAAGTGCTCAACATGCCCGAGACGTGCCGCTACCAGCCCTTCAAACCGGTACGTACTGTTGGTGTGCCTGTGTGTGTGTGACTTTTTAAGTGTGTTTCTGGGTCCAACAATGAAGCTGTCTTTTATCAGCCATCTTTTATTTCAATTTAATCTAAGATTATAACCCCTGGTTGTTTGGTTTTGGACCGTATATCTGACCCCTATCATCACCCACTGAGTCTTAACGTTGCCGGCCAATAAACCACTGGACTCTGGCCCCGTGCAAAGTGTTGACAGGTTTCCACAGTAAATAAAATGAGATATGCATTATGCAGTCACCCGCACACTTATCGTAATCCCACTCCTATAAAGAGGAGTATCATCTGGTTACGTGTAAAATCAACACAAGTCAAGCTAAGACCAATGCATCATGGGTCATATCAAATGACACAGGTGCCTCTTTGCTCTCGTCGGTCTTCTAAAACATTACACATTTTGTTTTTTATATGCGACCTTGAGAGGTATTGTTTTAAGACCAGTCAATCTATTGTTGCGGGGTCAGGGTGTGCCTCCCACAGAATGTCCCTCCATATCGTGACTATTTAATTTCACCTCTTCCATAGAAGGCAATCAGAGCACTGTTCCAAATACCTTGTAGTGTGGTCTGTGAGTAGATTAGTGTTAGCTTACCTGCCCAGTGATAATCTAGGAGTTAGAATCAAGCCAGTGCAGTGCTCACCTTGCCAGATGCTTTAGTCTGGACCTGAAACACATCATATCTTAAACAACCATATCTATAACACTGATGTACAGTGATAACCAAGCTGCTTGATGTACAGTACAACCACTGCGATGGCAATGTGATAACTGAGTATCACTGAGGCAACCATCCCCTCAAAATCCTCACAGGCAGACCAAGACTGAATAAAGACCTGTTCTTTCTTGCAGTCATGATAAATCCCTTCACTGTTATCCATCACCTCGTCTGTGGAGTGTTTTTAAAGATCCTCTCCTCTCACTTCTCGGCTTCAGAGATTTACGTAGACATAAGCCTTCTCTGAAGCCTTGTCAAATGTGTCCAACTATTGCATAAGCATGCTAGTCAGTGTTGACAGTGGAGAGTGGGTGAGATTTAAACATTATGAGGTGCAGTGTGTTCTCTTGAGTTGATATTACAATATTGTGGGGCAGGCGGGTGATGTTTGATGGATGTACTGCTCAGTCGGGAAGTTAGACAAGGTGTTGGGTGTTAACACAGCACGACACGGCCCCGGAGATCGAAAAGACTCCCGTCATTGGTCAAACCGCCTACAGTCGCTCATGCCATTGGTCCGTGTCCCCTGTCTGTCTCCAGCTGCACACCGGCGGCATCATCATCATGAAAGACACCAGCGAGGAAGATGAGGAGCTGGTGGAGCCCGTCTCCGCCCACGGCCCAAAGATCGAGGAGGAGGAACAGGAGCCAGAGGCCCCCGAGCCCTTCGAGTACATCGACGAGTGAACACCCTCCGTGTAAAAGGTATGTATGTGTCTTACACCAGTATTTACCAAATTATGGATCTGGATCCATTGATGGTTCGCAGATAATTCGTAATGGGTTCTCTGTGAAAGAGTGGGTGCTGGTTAGAAACAGGTTTTATTGACCAAAAGCTGTAGATGGGTCATATTGCTAAAAATATTTTAGAACCACAACCCCATTGGATCTGTAGCCTAGGGGTACATACAGTGACCATTCTTCCCCCTTTGTGCAATAACTCAAACTTTCAGGATCAAGCTGCCTGAATATTTTATATTACCTTGTAATTTGCTATACAGAGCAGTGAGGCAGTCTCAGACAGAGTGGCTTTGCCCCATCGCTGGTACAGAGATAGCAGAGAAAGAGGTAACTGTACAGTGCAGGTCTTTGGGTTTTTGTTCCCATGCCTAACCTAGCTCGCACCCATCGGTGCCTATGGAATGTAAACAATGCTGCCATTTCCAAACTACAACCCCTGAGGGCAAACCCTCCATCTGTAGTGGCAGTAATTGCACAGCAAAGAGTGAGCCGAGATAGATTGTTTTGTCAGTTTTGGCCATCAGCACACGTATGTTTGTCTTGGTCCCCATTACCTCCAATGAAGGCTTATACAACATGTGTTAAACAAAATACAATTAGGGGATGTTTAGATAGTGTCATGCCTTTTGGGATTAGAAATACTCCTGCTCTACATGTAAAAGGATTTGAAATACACGCCACTGTGGTTATCTTAATGAATTGTCTTAATGAAAATCTTTAAGTTATCATAATGAAAAGCATAAGTTAAGGTATACATTTTTTTATCTGAACAAACATATAAACGCAACTTGCAACCATTTCAAAGATTTTAACTGCGTTACAGTTCATATAAGGAAATCAGTCAATTGAAATAAATTAATTAGGCCCTAATCTATGAATTTCACTTAACTGGGAATACAGATATGCATATGTTGATCACAGATACATTTTTAAAAAAGGTAGGGGCGTGGATCAGAAAACCAGTTAGTATCTGGTGTGACTGCCATTTACCTCATGCAGCGCGACACACATCTCCTTCGCATAGAGTTGATCAGGCTGTTGATTGTGGCCTGTCCCACTCCTCTTCAATGGCTGTGCGAAGTTGCTGGACATTGGCGGGAACTAGAACACGCTGTCGTACACGTCGATCCAGAGCATCCCAAACAAGCTCAATAGGTGACATGTCTGGTGAGTATGCAAGCCATGAAAGAACTGGGACATTTTCAGCTTCCAGGAATTGTGTACAGATCCTTGCGACATGGGGCCGTGCATTATCATGCTGAAACATGAGTTGATGGCGGCGGATGAATGGCATAATGGGCCTCAGGATCTCATCACGTTATCTCTGTGCATTCAAATTGGCATCGATGTGCAAAGCTGTCGTCAAAGCAAAGGGTGGCTATTTGAAGAATCTCAAATATAAAATATATTTTGATTTGTTTAACGCTTTTTTGGTTACTACATGATTCCATATGTGTTATTTCATCGTTTTGATGTCTTCATTATTATTCTACAATGTAGAAAATAGTAAAAATAAAGAAAAACCCTTGAATGAGTAGGTGTTCTAAAACTTTTGACCGGTAGTGTACTTACATAAAACATTTTAAACTGATACCGGGGACCTTCAGGCAAGTCTTTGTGAGGTTTGTCGGCGTCCTAGAGCAGAACAACCGATATGTTCGTGAGAGATTAGTGTGTAACCCAATCTGTTCGGTCGCTACAGAGAAGTTGGCAGATCGGCTGTACCGACTTCAGAAGAGTCCCGTGACGCTGTTCGTGAGAATTCTCATAAGTTTGTAGGCCAAACCGTTCGGACACTTTAGACGTTTTCGTGAGAAGACCGATTTTCGGGACATCTCATGGTCTGACAAACACCACTCTAGCGCTGCCACCTTTCACCGCAGATGTGGAAGGGCGATATCGGTGGATGTAGTGGATTGAGATGCAGCCCATGCAAAAAAAAGGGCCAAGGACATTGTAGGAGAAGGGTTAATAAACATTTAAATATAGATAGAGTAATTAGGCCTAACTTTCTTGTAAAAACAAGCAATGAATTAGGTGTTTTGTGATCAAACACAGAGCCTATTCAGGTCGTATCCTTCTAACCGCTCTGGCCTTTCTGTTCCACAGGTGGCGTTACGAGGCTTCTACAGGAAGAATCTTGACATCCCAGCATGCATCTCTTTGTCCCCCCTCCCTCCCGCCGTCCCTCTTTTACACGTTCCTTCCCTGTCCTGGCCCCCTTTGTCAGACAGGGAATGTTTTACATTCTCTTGTTAAATGGTATAATTTTCTGTCAGTACAATTAAAAATATATATATATTGGAGATTGGAGCACGTGTGCTTATTTTTGTTCCTGCATGTGCTGTGTGAACGTAGAGTAATCCCTCTAATCCTGCACATTTAGGCAGGTTTACATTCTCTCAGCAGTGTTTCCTCATCACAGCTGCCACAGTCTGCCCACCAGCCAGGCCGCCTCAGCCTGCCATTATTCTGCCCAGTTTAGCTTACTCCTTATCATACCAAGGGCTTGATGACACACACAGTCACATTGAATTTACAAGGACATACTCACCTACAGTGGGGAAAAAAAGTATTTAGTCAGCCACCAATTGTGCAAGTTCTCCCACTTAAAAAGATGAGAGAGGCCTGTAATTTTCATCATAGGTACACGTCAACTATGACAGACAAATTGAGAAAAATAATCCAGAAAATCACATTGTATGATTTTTAATGAATTTATTTGCAAATGATGGTGGATAATAAGTATTTGGTCACCTACAAACAAGCAAGATTTCTGTCTCTCACAGACCTGTAACTTCTTCTTTAAGAGGCTCCTCTGTCCTCCACTCGTTACCTGTATTAATGGCACCTGTTTGAACTTGTTATCAGTATAAAAGACACCTGTCCACAACCTCAAACAGTCACACTCCAAACTCCACTATGGCCAAGACCAAAGAGCTGTCAAAGGACACCAGAAACAAAATTGTAGACCTGCACCAGGCTGGGAAGACTGAATCTGCAATAGGTAAGCAGCTTGGTTTGAAGAAATCAACTGTGGGAGCAATTATTAGGAAATGGAAGACATACAAGACCACTGATAATCTCCCTCGATCTGGGGCTCCACGCAAGATCTCACCCCGTGGGGTCAAAATGATCACAAGAACGGTGAGCAAAAATCCCAGAACCATACGGGGGGACCTAGTGAATGACCTGCAGAGAGCTGGGACCAAAGTAACAAAGCCTACCATCAGTAACACACTACGCCGCCAGGGACTCAAATCCTGCAGTGCCAGACGTGTCCCCCTGCTTAAGCCAGTACATGTCCAGGCCCGTCTGAAGTTTGCTAGAGTGCATTTGGATGATCCAGAAAAGGATTGGGAGAATGTCATATGGTCAGATGAAACCAAAATATAACTTTTTGGTAAAAACTCAACTCGTCGTGTTTGGAGGACAAAGAATGCTGAGTTGCATCCAAAGAACACCATACCTACTGTGAAGCATGGGGGTGGAAACATCATGCTTTGGGGCTGTTTTTCTGTAAAGGGACCAGGACGACTGATCCGCGTAAAGGAAAGAATGAATGGGGCCATGTATCGTGAGATTTTGAGTGAAAACCTCCTTCCATCAGCAAGGGCATTGAAGATGAAACGTGGCTGGGTCTTTCAGCATGACAATGATCCCAAACACACCGCCCGGGCAACGAAGGAGTGGCTTCGTAAGAAGCATTTCAAGGTCCTGGAGTGGCCTAGCCAGTCTCCAGATCTCAACCCCATAGAAAATCTTTGGAGGGAGTTGAAAGTCCGTGTTGCCCAGCAACAGCCCCAAAACATCACTGCTCTAGAGGAGATCTGCATGGAGGAATGGGCCAAAATACCAGCAACAGTGTGTGAAAACCTTGTGAAGACTTACAGAAAACGTTTGACCTGTGTCATTGCCAACAAAGGGTATATAACAAAGTATTGAGAAACTTTTGTTATTGACCAAATACTTATTTTCCACCATAATTTGCAAATAAATTCATTACAAATCCTACAATGTGATTTTCTGGATTTTTTTCCCTCATTTTGTCGTCATAGTTGACGTGTACCTATGATGAAAATTACAGGCCTCTCTCATCTTTTTAAGTGGGAGAACTTGCACAATTGGTGGCTGACTAAATAATGTTTTCCCCACTGTATATGTATGTATGTGTGTGTGTGTATGTATGAATATATAAAAACATGGGGAAGTGATGCAGACAATTACATTGATGGAAGTTACAATCTATCTGCAATATTAAGCTGATCTACACCCCCACAAATTTTTTTTGGGGCAATTATGTTATCACAGTTGAAAACTGTTGTGCTGATTTAAAGAAGCAATAAAACTGGCCTTCTTGAGACTAGTTGAGTATCTGGAGCATCAGCAATTGTGGGTTCGATTACAGGCTCAAAATGGCCAGAAACAAAGAAGTGAAGAGGTGACTCCGGGATGCTGACCTTCTAGGCAGAGTTGCAAAGAAAAAGCCATATCTCAGACTGCACATCTTAATCTTTTCTTTTTATTGGCCAGTCTGAGAGATGGCTTTTTCTTTGCAACTCTGTCTAGGTCAGCATCCCGGAGTCGCCTCTTCACTGTTGAAGTTGAGACTGGTGTTTTGCGGGTACTATTTAATGAAGCTGCCAGTTGAGGACCTGTGAGGCGTCTGTTTCTCAAACTAGACACTAATGTATTTGTCCTCTTGCTCAATTGTGCACCGGGGCCTCCCACTCCTCTTTCTATTCTGGTTTGAGCCAGTTTGCGCTGTTCTGTGAAGGGTGTAGTATACAGCATTGTACGAGATCTTCAGTTTCTTGGCAATTTCTTGCATGGAATAGCCTTCATTTCTCAGAACAAGAATATACTGATGAGTTTCAGAAGAAAGTTATTTGTTTCTGGCCATTTTGAGCCTGTAATCGAACCCATAATTGCTAATGCTCCAGATA